ACTTTCAGACTGTTTTTCTCAAACAGTTGTAGTGTTGAGAGGGAGGTGCACAGCAGACAACAGGATATTACCCTTGCTTCCTCTGCACCTGTAAAAGTAGACCACTATGAGTTTCTCATCTCAACCAATCTTCCTTTTTGACAGTTTCCAAACTTATTTCTACTGTCATAACACAATCATGTACAGAAGAGACCTCTGAACATAGTAGGTATTGCTGGAACATCTTTATTCAAATATGAGCTAAAATTTAAGTGGCTAGAACCATATGCATGTGCTCATATAAAAATTTGTTTTGTGCTTATTTTTGGTTTTAAACAAGGTTTTGCTGATTTCAGATTTTGCTTCACATTCTTGTCCATAGGAGGAATTTCCAATGTGTGTTTTAGTAGGCAGTTAATCTCATGCTTTCTAGGTATTGTGATAGAATTTTTGTAGTGGCTATAATTTTCTTTCTTTTTTCTTTATACACCACTACAAAATATCCTTCATCCAGTCAACACTTAACTGTGATCTATGATGTGTGACCAAATCTATTGGTAAAGTTATCTATTCATGCAAGAAATCAGTGCATACAGATTTGGGAGATAATTGGTTTGTACTCCACAATCTCAGCTATTCTTTCCTTGAAGAAACTCTAGGTATTATTCTTAGACCATTTAGGATGCAAGTCTTTTGGTCACTTTTTTTAAATAGCAATTACCACCACCAAGTATTACTATCATCACATTTTTGTAGATACCTACTAGATGTCAGACACTGCTCTAGATGCTAAACATATGTAGTCTCCTTAATTTTTTTGAAGAAGACATCAGCTCTGTTTTACATATGAGGGAATCATAGTTATGTGCATAGTGGAAATAGAAAAATTATTGATGTCAGACAGATTTGGACTCACTCTCTTCTGCTTTGGAGCTGTATTATGATTGTGCCAGTCTTCAGATCTCTTCGAGTCTTAATGGTGTATAAGATAAACAAGTTTGATTTCAGGTGATCATGATGAAAAAAGCAAATGAAAATGAAAGAAAAATGTAAAAAACTAAACTTAAGGAAAAAAAAAAGCCAAAACAGGTAACCAAACTTTAAGGTCTTTGCTTCTTCTTGTTGCTAATATCGTTATTAAAGTTACTCAACTAGAGGAACTTCAACTTCAGGTTTTTTTTTCCTTGAATTGTAATGGAACAGCCATTCTCACTGATATGCTGAGGCTTTTAACCAATCAAGGAATGAATTTTATGTGTGCGCTATGCACTATGCACATAACTATGATTTGCTCAGATGTAAAATAGGACTGTTTGTATATATGCATCTATATTTTAAGCTTCTAAAAATATAATTTTGCCCCCATTTTAAAGATTTCTGGACATTATGATAGAATCTGAGATTAATCCAGTTTTCCTCATTTCACTTTAAATCATTGTCTTATTGAAGAAAACCTAAGAATTAACTAATTGAGGTTGATTTCAAGTCATTGTGTCTCTGGTCATTATTCCTTTTCAAACAGAGTTCTTTAGGTTTTTTTTGTTTTGTTTTGTTTTTCTTTTTCTTTTTTCCAATACCTTTAAATCAAGACATGTTACTGATACTAATTTAGAAATAATTTTTTAAAGGACGCTATGGAATATACAAGGGAATTTTAAACCTGAGCTATGAAAAGACAATGTACATATCCAGTCTTTAATGGTTAATGGAAAACATTAGTCCACATGTAAAATACTTCTTAGCAAGATTTTAAAGCCTTCATTTGGCCCAGTGTATGAGGAATCTTTGAAGCTTTCTCTGGGCAGAAATGTATATAGTAAAATATCACCTCTGTTTGCCCACAGAGGTAACCTTCTGTGGTTAGAGCATCCTAACCTAATTTGAACGGTCTCTTTGATATCCTGTGTCCACAAAGGAAGAGCTGTGTATTGATGTGTGACCAATAGCTCATACTACTCAAGAATCTTACCTTTTCATCTTCTGTTCTCAGATGATCATCGTAATCCAGGGAGAACATTATTTCGTGCTTAGGGGACCTTTTTCTTCTGAAAACTTCAAGGTGAAATTATCATTAAACCCAAGTGGCAATCATTTGCCCAAAACTTAAGTGAGTATGTGAATTGTGACTATCTAAATGGCTAAGGGCTTAGTCACTAACAGAATCTTTTTTTTTTTTTTTTTTTTTTTTTTTTTTTTTTTTTTTGAGACGGAGTCTCACTCTGTCGCCCAGGCTGGAGTGCAGTGGCCGGATCTCAGCTCACTGCAAGCTCCACCTCTCGGGTTCACACCATTCTCCTGCCTTAGCCTCCCGAGTAGCTGCGACTACAGGCGCCCGCCACCTCGCCCTGCTATTTTTTTGTATTTTTTAGTAGAGACGGGGTTTCACCGTGTTAGCCAGGATGGTCTCGATCTCCTGACCTCGTGATCCGCCCGTCTCGGCCTCCCAAAGTGCTGGGATTACAGGCTTGAGCCACCGCGCCCGGCCCAGAATCTTTTTTTTTTAATTTATTTTATTTTATTTCATTTTTTGAGACAGAGTCTTGCTCTGTCCCAAGCTGGAGTGCAGTGGCTCTATCTCGGCTCACTGCAAGCTCTGCCTCCTGGATTCATGCCATTCTCCTGCCTCAGCCTCCTCAGTAGCTGGGACTACAGGCGCCCACCACCATGCCTGGCTAATTTTTTGTATTTTTAGTAGAGACGGGGTTTCATGGTGTTAGCCAGGATGGTCTGGATCTCCTGACCTCGTGATCTGCCCGCCTCGGCCTCCCTAAGTGCTGGGATTACAGGCATGAGCCACGACGCCCAGCCACTAACAGAATTCTAAACCTGAATTCTGAACCTACGCATTGTCATATAGACTGTAGGGACAGATTTTATATTAGGGAAGTTCAGTAAGAGAGGTATTCTCTAATTGTGGTTAGAGTTTATTCATTTAAAAATACTCTGTACACATTTATTGAACACCTACCATATGAAATGTAGGCCCTGAGTCCAGTTATTCCCTTGGAACTTTTCTGGAAAAAAAAAAAAGTATTTACAGAGGAGATGCTAAGTCCACAGTCATTTGCAAGTTCTCAACAGCTAAGACTTTAGAAGTGTGGTTTCACACTAAAAATTTCCAACTGGAATTAAAAGTTAGAAAAGACTTGGGAGTCAAAGACATAGCTAATTCCACGCCCTACAGTCAGATACAGAACACTTACTTAGAAAAGACTTTACTGAAAACACAATTCTCTCTAGTGTAAAGTGTCTTAAGGGGAATGTTCACATTTTTTTATAGAGGTTCAAACCCATAGTTGTTAGAAATTGCTGTCCTCCTGTTTCCTTGAATTTTAGAGATAATATTTTTCTTTCCCTTTTTGAACTGTTTATCTCCTGGTGTTTCTTCATTACATAATGCTTACTCTATTCCATTATCATTTTCATGGAACTGTGGTTTGGACATTGATACGTGAACAATGTATTTTGTTGTTTAAGACAGAATCTCACTGTCACCCAAGCTAGAGTGCTGTGGCGTGATTGAGGTCCACTGCAATCTCCACATCCCTGTGCCCAGGCGATCCTTCTACCTTAGCTTCCTGAGCAGCTGGGACTACAGGCTCATGCCACCATGCCCCACCAAGTTTTGTATTTTTTGTAGAGATGAGATTTCACCATATTGCCCAGGATGGACAATTTCTAAAGAGCTGGCCAATCTTTTCCCTGCCCAGAAGGCAACTTGATAATCGTCTCAGACTCACTAGAATGTCTGTAATTTATATTACATATAAATTAAGAGTAAGTACATTTTTGAGGTAAAATACAAGGCTGAGAAAGCCACATTTAAATAACCCCAGGTGAACATCTCTCTTTAGTTGTCAGTTTTTTAAATTATTCCCTTATTAAAATCTGAGGTAAATGAAGGCACAAAGAGTCTCTGCCACTTCGATCATTAATTATCTGCTTTCCTTTCCCATATAATGAAAGATAATCTTTCACCTTTTGGTTTTCTTTCATTTGTATATTAAAGAATGCTTCGCCTGAATACCTTTGACACATTGCATTTCATATCCTGCTTAGCCTTTTGTGATCCAGAGAGCTTGGCTTTTCTTCCTTAGAAGGCCCATTTACTTAGAGAAAAATGATATGAAATAATCAGCAAAAATGGCCTTGGGTGATAAACATGTGCCTATGCTGTTCATGTTCATGCCCTTCAACTCAGTGCAAATTAATTTTCAATCCATTAATTAAATCATTAGCTCCTTAAGGGCGAGAGTACATCTGTCTCTCTCTTTCTTCCTCTCTCTCCCTTTCTCTGTCTCTTTTCCTTGGTGCCTAGCAGAGTGCAATATGCATAGTGAGCACATTGAGAAAAGGGTACTGGCATACTTTGGAGAAATAGTAATATAATAATAATAAAACCTTCCATTGTCTTTTCTAGTTTCCTAATCTAAACTCTGTATCTTTCTATCAATCATTCTTATGGTCCCCCTCAGCTCCCTTCTTTTCAATTGTATTCTTCCCCTAAGAAAATGAACAAACCAACGTCAATTTTCAGGTGGCAATCTCATGCATTTCCATGGCTTTATTTACTATGTATGCAGGTGACAGCCAGATCATTCCATCAATCACAGAGGTAAATTCTCGTGATTCCCCAAGATGCCTCGATTTATTATCCTTGGACTATTCCCTTTGAGAGATTTATCAGAGAAAGGGTATTTCAGAGAAACCTAACAATCCTTGCATTGAAGTTCACTCAATCATTCAGACAGTCTAAGGAATCATATTTGTGAAGGCTTTTGATGCATAGAATAATGCAAAGAGAGAAATAAAACTCACACTGGACTTACACTAGTGAAAAGTCCATGATTATAGTGGTTAAAAATGCAGTGATTCAGATTCAGTCTAGGTTCAAATAACAGCTCACTGATTACTGACTCTGTGTGGGAGCCAGTTTCTGAATCTCATATGAAAAAAAAAAAGAAAGAATACCCATCTCATAGGTCTGCTGAGAAATTCAAATGAGATGATATGTATAAGGATGAAACCTAGAGAAGTATCTGGAAAATGCTGCATCTTCCTAAAACTGTAACTGTAGTTATTCTTAAAGGTTGAAAAATGGTTACTTTCATTATGAAGAGATTTGGTATCACAGTTCCAGAAGTAGTTTAGTTAAGTCACATTTTTATAAATATCCCTACAGAACATGGTAGGGAGCACATATTATCAGACATCAGTGGTTCCATTTTGCCACCTCCTGCATTATCGAGGAGGTGGGGAATGTTTGAATTGCACTTTAACTTTTGCAGGATTAAGAAAAAATATATAACCTGAATCATAGGCTATAGGTTAATTAGTTCAAAAGTCAACGGAGTACTTGATTTTAAGTTCAACTTGAAAATTTAAATTTATTTCCCAGTTCAGTGGACTAGTAATGTTAATAGCTAATATTAATTGAGTGATTACTTGTGCTAGGCACTCGATTCCCTAGCCCACATATTTCTTCATTTAGAAGACATTTTTTAGAGTCCCTGGGACAATGATCTTTGGGTAGGCAATAACTATCATGCTTTCTCCTCAAACAAATTAAATTCAAATCAAGTTCTCCTTTGACTTTGGGCATGCCAACACCTGACAGCTACTTTGACATCCATGTCTCAGCAGGCCATTTATAACTCTCTAATTTTTCCACCTCTCTGATGGCTGTATTTTCATGCGTTCCTCACCAATGTGTAAAGCCTTTAAAGTTTAGTGGATGTGCATAGTCAGATGAGAATTTTCAGGGACCAGCTGTGCTACTGTGATGGTCATTTGCACCACCACTAGGACATTTCTTCTTGTCCAATTTTTTCTATGTAATGAAAAAGCAGAGGAAATATTGAATAGTTAAAACTGTTAACACAGAATGATACATCTGAAAAGCTTATAAATAGAGTAACGGGCTGCACAGGACTAAAAGCAATAATTTCATCATGGGAAGGTTGCCTAAAGGTCTTATTTCACATTCTGATGATGCAGCAGATCTAGACACCAGCATTTTAGAGCGCTACCTGAACTGCCAAACATTAACCAGAAATCATTTTCCATGATACAGTTGGCAATCTGTCATCGTAAATGTCACTATAGGGAAGACCTTAAAAGCCAAAAAAAAAAAAAGACCACACACAAAGCTCATCCAATTGAACTTTGCTTTCCAGAGGAACGGTAAATTCAGATTATAATTGGGTGACTTCTGCTTTTTACAAGTTCTCAAAAACTTCTCTGGCCCCGGGTGGTGGTGTTATGGCCCTGCATGATTACATATCACATCCCATTGCAACAGAGGCAGTCTTTTCATGACAAAAGGTTTTCCAGCTTTTAAATCATGGCCCATGTTTTTCAAAAGATAAACTCAACGTGATAAAATATCAAGGTAGCACCAATAATAGAGTTGGATTCATTCTTGGAATCAGTACTAAATAAACTGTCTCTCTTGAGTTTATTTTTTATTTTTACTTTTTGCAAATAATCTTTCAAATAAAACAAAAACTAATCAAAAGATCACAACTAAATATATGAGCTTCCACTTTTGACCTAATATCGTTATTTTATTAATGATATGATAAAAATTTCATATTACTTTTTTTTTCAAAAATAAAACTTAAACATAACGTTTATCTGATCAAAAAGCTTCTAGGACTCTTGTCCCAGAAATAAAGCCTAAAACATCAGCAGAATGTTTAATTTTCCTAAATGACCCCCAACTTAACTTTCCAAACTTTTTTCCTACCATTTCCACATACCTCCGAAATTCATACCTAAATCACAGCCACATGGATCTGCTGCTATTTCTCCAATGTGTCATATACTTTTACTTCTCTGTACCTTCTACTTAAAAATGACTGACACTCTTCTGTATAAACAATTCTAAATTATCCTTAAACCTCAGCTCAGCTACAACTAACAGAACTTGTTGCTTTTACTCTATCTGTACACAGTGCCTATATCAGACCTGCTACATTGTGCTGACCTCTGACTGTATCACAAACAGCAATCAACTCTATTTTGTCTTTGTATCTCCAGCACTCAAAATATCATTTGGGAGGCAGTAAACAATAATTTATTTTTGCTTAATGAATCATTCCCAGGACTACTGTGTATACTAGACATCTAGAGGTCACATTCAGATAGCTGTGCTTTAAATATAAACCTTGCAGTTGTGAAGTGCACATCAGGAACAACCCTTACATAGCAGCCTTGTCACTCACTCATGCTTAATCATTATTTAACTCTTGCATGATAAATTTTAATTATTTTCTGCATGCCCTTCCTCCATCGGTTGTGGAATCCTGACAAGTCAGTATATGCTAGGTTTTTGCTGCAGTAACAAGTACCCAATTTTAGCTAACTTTGATATACGAAAAGTTAATCTTCACTCATACTACATGCTCTGATACAGTTGGCAGAAAACTCTGTAGTCTGTCAGGGGAACAGAACTGACAGAGGTTCCATCCTGACACATGAATTCATAATCATTGAGGCATTAAAATCAGAATGCCAGCAGGTTATGTACTAGTTATTAGAGCTTCTATTTGGATGTGGCACACACACCCTAGTCAATGTCACTAGCCAAATGTAATCAAGTAGCGCCATTTAACTTCAAATGTGCCAAAAGAATCCAATTTTACCATGTGCTTATAAAGAATAAGAAAAATATTTGAAAATGTCTCTGATTGAGAGGCACAGTCAGATTCCTTAATATCTCACAATTTGTCCTATTCATACCCATTTAACTATTTTAACTCTTTTTTTACTTCATTCTTGGACTATTGCAGTAGCTCACTTAGCCTTCCTGCCTTCTTTTTCTTTATCCCACTTTGCCCTCAGCCCTTTCTCCCTATGACCAACAGGTTAGCCACCCTAAAGCGCAACTCTTTACTGTCTTTCAAGAAGGTATTTTTTAATTAATGCCTTTAGTGATTCCCCACCAACTGTGAAATTAGGCCCCAATTTCTTCCTTCATTAAATATTTTCTTTCATTCATTCCACAAACAGCATTGAGTACTTAAAAGGGTTGACAAAATCCATATGAGACACTGAAAAAACAAAGAAAATAGTTCCTGGACATAATAGATCTCATTGTTCAATAGGGGAGTTAGGCCACAAAAAGAAAAATGAGGGTAAGTCAGTGTGAATTTGATGCTTGATGCTAAAGTGGCATTAGTTCAGTGGGTAACATCAAGGAGAAAATGACTTTCATGGGGAGATCAGTGAAGGCATCTCTGAGAAGGAAGATGTTTAAGGTAGTTCTGGATTTGGAATACAATGGTTTTCCAAGCAAACATACTTGGAGATAGAAGAGATGGAGCGATGGACGAGGAACATGGAGGCATAAAATTAGGTATATTGCAAGAAATCAACAAATGGTTTCTATAAGGCTGGAATTGAGATTGGTGGTTGGTGGTGGGATACGAAGAGTTTTCTGAGGGGGTAGAAAGTATGACTGCAAAAGAGAGATTGAGGCCCAATTAAGAAACAGAGAAGGCTTAAGTGTTAATATTAAAGAGTTTGCTTTTGTCCTTTGGGAAATGTGTAGTTATTGAATAGTGGAGCCTGAGAAGGAGAAGACTTGGTGTGGGAAACATTGGCCACATTCAAGATGTGAAGTGCTGTCATATCATGAACAGACAAATCTAGTTTTTAGTAGCTCACAGATTGCAAAATGTGGAAATTATCAAAAGTACCGATTTTCAAGGTCAGCTGGAGAAAGAACTACTTGGAGGTACATTTCATTCTTTTGGTATATGAAATTTCTAGTTAAAATGTTGGATATTTGCATTTTATAAATGTTTTTTTTTAAATGAGTAAAATAGTTACAAGCATTAGACTGATTTGGCAAAAAAAAAAATGTGTAAAGAGGTGGAAGCTTTGATAAAATTTGTTATGCAAACTAGAAAATTTGGAATCGAAGGACACCATATCCATGGAACAGTTAGGATGCAGATATTCACTATTTAGTGCCTATAAATTATGTTGGAGTTCACCTAAACAGTCTGATAAATTAATAGAATTTTCCCAGGTAGCTACCTGGGAACTACCTACTGGTAGCCATTTTACAAGTGTAGGTTGCTTTAACAGTTTAGATCTCATTTCATACACATCATCTCACTCAATCCTCATAACAATCTTAAGTGCTTACGAATTGACAAGTCAGGAACTCATCCAAGAAATGTTAATTGCCTTGCCAAAGACAGCAAAAGCTAAAGCGGAAGAGGTGTGACTTGAACCCACATTTGCTTGTGCTATTTCTGATATTTATACCATTACCCAAAAGCTACAGGAAAACTTTGATTTCAGTACCAGGAACTTACATTTGAATTACAATTTATAGCCGAAACTAGCTCAGTGCTTTCAGGATGATCACAATGCAGATACTAACTAATGATGTGCTAACAATGGAGGTAGACATAATCTGATGGGATTGATCAAATGTGGCTCCAGTTGCCCCAGAAGTAATTTCCATAGACTACACAGAGAACCTAATTATGTAAATCACTCGAGAGATCCCCAACTGACCTTCTTGACAAGAACTAACCAGCAGTGATCAGTGGGAAGAAAAATAAAATTGAAACCTGGATCATTTCCTCAGACAAATCTAGAGTTGATTACAACACCACTTGAATTTGAATGCTGCAGCTCTGATTGGGGGCTATAACATGTTGATTCAAACTCTCTAATGGGCTGATGCATAGATTTACCAGGAAGTAAACTAAAAAGAGGACCTGTTCTATATGACCTAGTTTTATATTTATTAAATTTTGGAATGTTTTTTTTTAAAGTGTTGATAAACAAACTTCAACTGGCAAGGAAAAAAAAAAGTCACCCTGTATTTTCTAATCAAGGAGGATTAAAAGGCTGTGAAACTATATCCAATGCATAAATGTTGTAATTACAATAAATATTTGTCCTTTCTGTTTCTCTACAAACTCCAAAAAATCCTAGAGTCTGTGTTTGGCACATTCAGGAAGATTACAGCATCTGCTGGAGAGACAAAGCTGTCAATTATAAAACAATCTGGCTTTCTATTCCATTCCATTTCCAGGTTAAATGTGGCCGATTGAGGTAGCATCTTTTTATTATTATTATTAAAATTGGAAGGTTCTTGGTACTGTCCAAACCTTTGACCTATCTCAGGATCCCAAGAGAGATTTACATGTCTTCTGAACTTGGAGTTTGCAACACAAGGTTCAACCATGTCTTATACAAGCCGTTTAATAAGGTAAACCACTCTTAGCAGGGCTCTGAACTCATTAGCCAACTTGAACACAATATGAGGGTTTCATTCAATTAAAGTGTGCGTTAGCCTAAGGAGGAAAATCATAGGCAAATAGAAACTAATAAATGGAGATAAGGGTATCTTCTGTTAGCTGGGGTGATGAGCATTTTAAACAGAGGCTTTTAAGGTTGAAAACAACAATACAAAAATGTTCCATGAAACATGGAAATTAATAGCCAATCTAATAACATAAGATTTGGCAACATTGGGAGGGACCAGTTTCAAAACCACAGCAAAGTATTTTAAGAGAAGGAGGCAGTTGGCCCTAAAACTGTGGGACACTAAAGACCTAATGGAAGTGAATTACCCTTTGTTTTGGCCAGATTCCAGGCCAGAAAAATTCACCCCTGTTTCCTTTAATTCTTCCTGCAGTTTTTTACTGGAAACAGTTTACCTTGTGTTTTGTCCTAAAATAGTTTAAATTGCTTTTCAATAGACTTTTCAGGAAAATCTTGTGATCCTTAAGCAGGAGTGGAAACAACCAATTGGCTTTTAAGCAGACACCTAAAAGTAGAGAAGAAAATTT